GAGTGCTTTCCAAACGCTTTCGAACGCCTCCCAAACACCAAGAAACGTGAATAAATGCATGAACACCGAAAGAAAAACAAAGCACGTGATAGCAGTCAATTCATCGACATTAAATATGCATATATTTCTCTCTTATTACGAATATAAAGAAACGCATAAAAAACGAATCAAAACCTAATAACAATAAACCCGAGTACGGTTACGTGTCAGAAATTCTCGTTTAACCAGTGTGATATGTAATCTGTTTGAACGTGAGAAATACGCAACCGAACGACAAGACTCTCTCTCTGTCGCTCTTTTGTTGTTGTCGTTGCTATTATTCGGAGGTTATGTCTCAGAAAGCACCTGAGAAACTGAGCTAACTTGTTTACGCATCCATCCGAGCCGGCTCAGTTACGAGATATGCAAGTATAACAAATACGTCTCATCAGTTGCACAACCCCTGGAGGGTTAGGTGTTGTAGGTGGATTCCACAAGGGATCAATCGACCCAGCTGCGCCACGCGCGCCAAATTCTGGGTCCAAACACACCATCTCTATCGCGGTTATGACGTCTGTTCGGGCGTGCCCCATCATAATTGCTTGCAGTTGAATCACTAAGCAAACGTAACAGTCCGGTTGAGACAGCCGAACCCAATCCGGACTCGCGACGCACGCCTTGTAACACGGAACGCGGCGTGCGGATAGACTGAGTCTTTTCCGGACTGATCACTCGAACCTGAGTTGCTCCCTGCGTAACGGGACGACCGGGAGAGGTTGATACGTTTGACGCGGTTCCCGATCCGGACCCGGTCGTGCCGGCGGACTCTTCGGAAATGGGCCCGTTTGTGATAGACCCTGTGTTCGGGTCTGCAATGCACGGGGTCAGGTTGGATGTAGGAAGTAGTGGCGGCTTGTAGAAATCCGAGCTGCCGGGCTGTGGTGTGCGTGGATCAGAAACTCCACTCGTTCCACTATTTTCTCGCATTAGTGGTACCTTGGAAGTTGGCTGCAATGACGCTTCAGGGTGAAATAGGAAAATGAGGATGCGCAAATAAATCGAAGGTTATGAAATGCAGAAAAAACAAAATTCGAACACTTGAACAATTTAAATTGTGATATATCCTCATTTGATAAACCACCCGGATTATTTCATCAGTAGCCAATTCTATATCTGGGTTGTGACGGGTTTTCAACAGCTTTGTACATAGTATTTTTCTAAGTCCATCATCTTCCTTTTCGTATCTCTTCTTTCTCTTTTATGAACTCAACGTTTAACAGGTTTTTTAACCGACCTCCTCATTACTCACTCGGTAGCTTTGTGGTCTCGCTCCGTGATTTCCTGTTGTTTGTCGTTCTGTAACTGAGACCTGCGACGGTTTCTTAAGTCGTAAATATGTGTTTATGTATGCCTATAATAGAAACAAAATTTCAACTGTAGTTCAACTGTTTTGCTGCGTGCTGAAAATTTGGTCAGTCGAAGTCGAGGCATTGCGATTCATATTGAACGTTGTTCGGATTGTCTCGTCGCTGGTTCAATTTCAAGCATCCGCTCGCCAATTGTGCAACAGTGGAATCAAGTTCATGATTCAACATCATCATTGAGTTGATCAGGCATATTTTGTATACGAAGTAATAATGTTTCCCTTTTTGGTTTTTCAAAACTGATGATTTTGATTCTTCTTTAGGTAACAATCCGGATCAACTTGTCCCTGCCAATTCGCTTCTAGCATTCACATTCGGGTCTTAGTCACCTCCGGGTAGAACACGATGAACATGATGATGCACCAGTTTGTGCTTCCGCATTTTCTTTCTGATTTGATCACTCATATAATTGTGGAATCACATCCAACGGGATATTTTAGTCTAAACAGTACGCAAATGACTACACTATTAGGTTGGGTGACTAAAACCTTGACGATCGCCAATAACAATACAGTTATAGATAGATTACACGTACTGGTACTTAATTAGTAATTCATCACTTCCAATCTAAAACGCAGAAAAAATTAGGATGTCTGCTAAAGCGAATCTCTGTTTGCTTTGTATGTTTCGCCTCGTGAGGAAAATCATCGGATTCAGTGTTTGCAATCCACTCGAATAGCAAAAGACGATCTAACTTCCGTTTGAACCTCGGAATACAATACACTCGCTATTTCCCAGCGTGTCATAAAAGCTAAGAATTTTAGCCAATAACAAGACGCATTCAAATGCGATGGAAACGTTTGTGATAACCGACAAAGACCACTGGACAACTGCTTCGTCCTGTTTTACGCCTCTTCAGCAGTGCACACCTTTGTTGGGTCCCTTTCAGGACTCGAACCACAAACATTCGTGTTGGTGTCTCATTCGAGTGTTAAGAGGCACCAGACACTTTCGATTCCTTCAAGGAGTGAAACCTACAAGCAAGACCATTACGAGTTCCTGGTGTCTCTGAACAATCAAATGGACTAATCCAATTGCTCCATCGTTTCACATCATCTGGTGTTTCTCGCCCGTGACCTCGAACGATCACATTCCCTGTGACCCTCTATGAGAACTAACTGGATTATTTTCCATGATTTACGCAACTTGGAATCCCTCAACCGGACACGAGACTGTCTGAAGATTGCAACGGTGAAAGAAAACTATCTTCACTGGATGTTGCTATACAAGCATCAGGATTGAAAACATGCTAATCAACTTTTATAACATAAAAATGCATTTTTCCATAGTATTTGTTCTCTTTCCACAAGATCGTTCAACGCGAAAATATCCAGTTAGGAAAATACCAAGGAGAGTTGTGCGTGGACCGCTTATATTGGTGAATATTGCAGTCCTTACTTAAGACGAGTTCAAAGGTTTACTTTGAATAACCGTTTAGCGAACCCGCTTGGAAAAAACAATATAGAGACACAGGTTGGTTGTTCCACCGTATGGTTTTGAGAGTTTTGTGTAGGAGTTTATTCTTTTTTACGGTATACAGGATGGTTGTTACATCAAAAATTACAGTGCAAGAGTTTTAAAATTAAAAAAATATTAACTTGTTGCACGAACTCACTATTCACACAGGATGAACGTGACCAAAACATCTCTGTGGCTTTTGAATTCGGACGAATTAAGTAGGCACAGGTGATGAACTGAGAAACCAGGGAACCCTTTTAATCAACTGTTCAACGACAGACTTATGTTTTACTTACCCTACGAAACTCCACTCTGAGGCATCGAAGCTAATCGAAATTCGTCAGAATGACATCGTCAGTCGCAATTACCGAATGCACAGTTCAGTTTTCATCAAGGAAACTAATCGTATTTCAAGGTCCATGGAAACAGTTTCCTATTGTACAACTCGGAATTTAGTTTTGCAACCCCGGGTAACGAAACCTCTTGACATTTAAATCAATGATCAAGGCCGGATGAAACTGGAGTGTGGGTTGACCGCGAGGTGAATCGGGAAGACCATTTCCAAGTCTCCTGTTGTCAGTTAGTAACAGCCTCAGTTTTGTGGAACACCCAGTCATGCGTAGAAGAAATCTTGTCGTATCAACAAGAGTAGGTTAACAATAGTCATACTGCACGATACGGCTTACTCCGTTTACCTTCCTTTCCCACCAATCATCCATGTGTACTTCAACTACTTGTTCGATTTATTCAATTTATCTACTCTAATCAACACTACTTTTCACTAAACGCCATTATTTGAAAAGGGTAATTTAGTTTCTTGTGATATCTAAGCGACACAATTGTTAAATGGATAAATTATCTTATCGGTTTTGTTTACGTTTATGATGGTGGTGATGATTAGCTCGAGAATTCATCCGCTGCTTTCTGCCTCACATGTATTCATCCTCCCAGAAACAATAGCACTGTGCAGAGAGCATCGGAGGATGCACTATATCGAGGAGTGTCGGTACAACAATTCTCTAGTGTAACGTTTCCGGGTGTGTTACAATTTATTCCCGGAAATCATTGTTTTGCATATTTTGAATATGTACACTCCATGTACTGACTACTGAATGTTTTTGCATGCCAGTCCCACCCGTAGTGTTTCACTGTTCGTTTTTATCTCGAATGTGTTTATCTTCAACCACTTAAAAAGAAGCACATTTATGGGTACAATTTCTATGGAAAAAAAGGTTTCAGTGTTCAACATTCAACTTGCTATGAATTGGTTCAATTATATTCTGAATTTTGTTTTGTCCGAAGCAAATAAAGAGCAATCCCCAGAAAGTCGGAAAGCACAGTACAACTATTTCAACCTCCCATACACGGTGTAAATTTATTGATCCAGATGAGAATGAAATAGGGATAAATAGATTCTAGTAATTCCACAAACACTGTTTTTTTAGGAAAACTATTTTTCAGACAATGATTTTGATGTATAGGAATTTTCAGCAACTAATAGGAATGGACCCTACATTATGCGTAAAGGCTTTCAGATCTCATATGTGCGTTCTGAAATAATGCCAGATAGCAAAACTTGTGAAATTTTTGCGTTTTCCAGATAAATCTGGTTAGAACCTGGCGACATTTAATCACTTTCTCCAGCATTCTGGTATGTACACAATCAAATTGACCAATGTCATGGTAACCGACTGTACTCATCTTAGTGATGCAAAGCATTTAACGGAGAGTAGAGAGAGAGAGAGGGAAAACCGTGCGTGTTCCTATGAGAACCCATTGATTGACACTAAAATCCATGTCCACAAATGTGCCCGATTATTAAATTTTTACTTTTAAAGTTATGGTGGACAACTGTATGGGTGTAGTTTGAAAAGCACGTGAGGTTTTTGAAACGGTATTTCATTTCAATCGTCTTTCATTTGAAGTAAATTACAGATTTCAAAGTGACCCAGTTAGAAGATTATTGAATCTTACATCCAGTGTTTTTAGACGATTAGAAATCTCTCACTAAAAAGAAACTTTTTGCATTTAACTAAGCAAACGTTTATTCGGCAATTATTCGTTGATGAAATTGTCCAATGTGGGAATGGAATCCCATTTTAAGCACTGTCAATTGGAGTCTTCAAACCCAGTTTTCAGGAAAGCATTTTACCGCCAGACACTTGCAGTGCGACCGGCAACAAAGTTGGAATGGCAAATTGGATACTGGATGTCACTTGGTTGTACCGTTTCCTCTCAAAACTGGAATTACTCAAACATCCATAGACTAATTAGCCTGCATCGCGTATACGTCCCCGTTGACTTACCTCGTTCTGTCTTTGCTGTTGTTGTTTGCGTGTGTCCCACAACTGGCACCTTCCGTTCTCCCGATCTACTACTACCAGCTGGTTTGCAAAAATCTGGACACCAGTTTTCATACACGTGGGATTTGGTCTTCGATTCGCCAGTTCGAGCCGGGCAACTGACGTGTGAGTGGTACTCGGGCACGGAACTGCCAGAATCCCCGAAGCTCGGTCCGGACGAACGTGTGTAAGCCACGGAGTCGGATAGCTGACGTTTGTAGCTGTGCGGGGGCAGGATAATTTCATTTTCCTGTGTGCTTGCCAGCAGAGATTGCCTAGCCACAGAATGTGAAGAAGCCCACGGAACACCGGATGGAAATGCAATAGAAACGTCTCGGCGCAACTGCGCAAGCATTGCAACCTCAAGACTCGAGGCCATTAAGGATGGGTTTGGATGAATGCTTTTAGGTAGAAGTGTGGCTGTGGCCATTGCTGTTGCAGCCGCTGTGCTTTCCGGATTGGATCCGATTGGTAGATTCCCGACTGGACACAGATATGCCGCACTCAATACGAGGGGTGTTGGGGTACTTGGCAAGGATCTGTGCCGAAGACAACCGTGAAGCATTGCGCCGAAACACGCTAAGCCAAGGATACATCCGGCGGTCAGACAGGATCGACGATCCCACAGAATACCAAACAACAGGAGTATTAGTGAAGCCAAAGCAGACAAAGTGAGAATAACGTATATCACGTGACGAAAGAGTTGATGCAAATGTGCCGAATCGAATCGTTTCAATTTTGGTCCCCGATGACGGAACGTGGTGGAGAATTGCTTTTCTGGTGCAAACCGAGCGATACGATCCTGCTTGAGCATCACATCACAGGTAGATGTGTCCACGGAACTTTTGTGCACACTTGTTCGGTGCGCTGAATCCATGTTGTCAGTGCAACTAAAACAAAGGTTTGTTCGGGTTATTTTGCATCAAATATGTTTTGTTTTATTACTGTGATAGAAAACTTTTGGTACCGGTAGAAATTAAGGAAGCGTTTAGGGTTCGGCTACTACTTTGGAAGCGATTTCTCCTAGCTACCTTATTAATTCAGCAACCATCAAAGTTCGATCAATCTGCGGCATACAATATAGAAATCTTCGATCCAGTAAATCCAGAACGGACTGTTGAACTCCGCAGACGGACTATCCATCAGTCCAGTGAAGGTATACGCTCACAAACCGCAATAATATCTGAGCGGCAGCAAAATAAAGCATTAAAAAACATAATAACAAAAAATGGTCATACCGGGAAAGTTTGGCGATGATCATTTATGTTTATTAGAAGCTCCATGACCCGCTGATGGCGGAAACGTAAAAGGTACGAAATGCTGATGAGTCCGATACAGGAAGAAACAGCTGCCCAGTGCTTTCTGTCAATCTTCACAGACATTTCCATGGCATTTAGGCTCGAAAAGTGACTCGTCATATGCGTTGTTCTCATTGTTGTCGCTGCTCAAAAAATGATTACTAGAAAGCCGGCTGATACATTTACAAATTCTGGTAAATACATGATTAAGCCTAAATTCCACTTGACCGTGCAGATACGATACAGTTTTATTAGTATCGACGCACTCAAATAATGGTCTTTCTTCGCCATACATCAGTCCGACACATCAGTGCGGCACTCCTCACCCGTGCCCCGCAAGGACACTTCCCGGTAACTTCCGGTAAGTTGAAAAATAAGTTGAGACCGGCCAAAAATCAGAAAGAAATTTGCTGTTTTGTAAAACAAAAAGAAATTCAGGAGATAAATAAGGTCATCCGAAGAAACTTTTTTATTTTGAATTTTTGAACCTTGAAGAGAAAGCGGAGGAACACTGGCATGCATGATGCGAACATGCATATCAAAGGTCACAGGGATATGTAATTTGGGGTCTATCGGTTTGAAAGAAACCGAGAAAATCGTGGACCCGTTCAAGCATTTGTCACGTCAACTGAACCCTATGTTTTCTACTATCACTGAAACAATGCCAATCAAGCTAAGTCTGTCCTGTTTTTGTGATGGAAACTATATTGTTTTGTGTTGCAGCAACCCAGTTGAACAAGTGAATCCGTATGGGAACGACTGTGTAGGAAGCGGACTCAATACTACGGAATTCACTCTGGTGACATATTTGCCGGCCACGGAGGTAGAGTGCTGGGGGTTCCAGGGGGGGGGGNCCACCAAAAGAAAAAATACCATGAATGTTCTTTTCTTTCACTTATTTAAGCGTGATATAATAAAAATTCAAGTATGAAAAATAAAGTTATTAATTTTCTTTTTCGCTTCCTTCAATTGAATCAATCATGATGCATCTGTTAGATGAGAAAAACTACCGATCAAAGGAGTACCATAAAACACATAATGGGGAAAGTTCGGTGGTGGTGGTGGTGTTGGTGGGACTCGAACACACGTCCTCTTGGGTGACCATCCCGATCACAATCATGCACGTTAATCCCAGAGCGGAGTATCATATTTGTATTATGACTGGTTAAGTGTGCACGGACAGTTACTAATCTGGGATGATTAAGCATTTCACATTTTTCGTGTACGTCTGCGTTTCATAGTTTCTAATTTAAAAGATTTCTTATCTATAGATAACCTTGTAAGGGGTATGGAATTGCCGCATTCGAATTAACGGTTGTCGCTCACTGAAATATGTTTCCTGTTTTGATCTTCTTTGCGATAGGAGGAAAAGTTGAACTAATTGTAGCTCAAAGTGTTTTTTTTTGTTTTTAACAAACACCTCCACTCAACTGATTTAAGTCATACCCGTTGCCTAGAGCGCACTATAATCAGGGTGACGACATTTTTAATTCAATAGAGACTTGTTCGATTTTGTTGTTGTTGTTGTTGTTGTTGTTGATGGAGTGTTAGTTGATACCTCTTCATGAATCGACCCGTTTGTGCGGTCAGTTTGTCCTCATTCCCGATCGCTAGAAAGATCTAGAATGTTTTGTTTGTATCCTCATCTGTTAAGTAGTTATTGGTGACTTTAATTGAATCGGACTGTTTATCCGTAACCACGGGATTCCATTGTCCCATCGGCTCTGGTAGGGTAATGCCCAATCGAAAACTTGTGCGTATTACTTGTCATTTAATTTTCGAAGAAAAGAACTTTGGTAGAATCCTATAGTCTATCGGGAAAATGTAGGGTTTTAAACAAAATGCACAGACTTTTTTCCAGATCCTTGCATGCACTGCACGCAGTGTTATTAACCAGTCAGTGAGAAACCCACCCTTGCCGAAATCATGACTCGGCAATGTACCACCTCCGTATGGAGGTTCTGTTGCAGTGACGAAGTCATATCAAGTCAAGACATTGTTTCCTCCCACCGTCTGTTGCAACTCTCGCTGTCAATTACCCCACAAAAATGAAGATACGTATAAATACATTAGGTTTTCGGAGTTACCTCAAGGCTATGAGCAACTCATAAAAAGAGAGCAAACATTTTTTTTCGGCTTGATAATGAGGAGTTAAGTGAGTGAAAGGAGTCAGACGGTATTTTGTGAGCCAGTTTATCACAGGCTATGGTCTGTTGGGAGACTACGTGATGGATTAAATGCATGTTTGTTAAACCACACCATATGGCTAAATTAATGAGGGACTTGTATATCATACATACCCCCCCTCGAAAAATCACTGGGAAAGCGTAGAACTAGTGAGTTAAATGCAGGCATGAAAAATCTATTTCATCAAATTGGTGGGTATGAATAATGACCTTAGATGCAGGGCAAAACTGAAACTTCTGACTTTGCAAATACGTTGGTGATGTGCTCAGATCAAGGAAGAACATGGTTAATAATTACACCCAAGTATTTTATTGATGTTACCCACGACTGAGAGGAATCATCGTTAATGATTAGCTCCTGGCACATTTGAATCAGAGTATGATTTACCCACACACAGAGAGAAAATCAAACATCAACACACTCATATGGGTTCATGCGGTGATCCAGGCCTGCGTGATGACGCCTACCCTGGAGCGGCGCGTTACAGTTTCTGAACACTTGCGATCAATCGAATTTGAGAGATGATGCACGTACGCGTCACGGCTCCTGAATACACGCCATTGGTGGATCGGGCCAGCCAATCCGAGACAGTGCAAACAGAAGCAGAATTATGCAAGCAACACTGCAATGTGATTGGTGGAAGCCTAGATAACTAATGATCTTCTGTTGTGCATATTATTTAATCGTCTTTATTTCTTCCAATAAACGAACTCAGAACTACCATTCTTATGGCCTTTTTCCTGTGTCTCAGTTACGTGGAACGTTGCGTACTAGTACCATCGGGGTCCAGTACTTCCATAATTCAGTCCGTGATAGCTGATCCTTGATTCGTGTCCTGTGATTCCTATTGCGTGGTTCGTGTTTCGAGTTCTGTGCGTATTAGTCAAGTCAATTCAAGTCAAGTATTAGTACTACTACTACTATTACTACTACTACTACTACTACTACTACTATTACTAATGCTAATACTACCATCACTACAGTTCATGGAAAGGTTATGTGCAGAAAACCGCTCTTTAGGTTGTGAGATATCAAGTTAGATGGTGTTGAGAACAGGGTTATTTGGTTAGAGTGGAACAAAAAATAACGTCATGAACGCATTTTGAGAAAAATTGTCTAGACAAATTTATGGGTGCTAAGTGTAAAAGAAGAAAGGTAACAAAATGGTTCCTTGAAGAACTTCTGAAACATGGGCTGTGGAGACTTTGCCACCGTCGAGTATCAAATCGTTTTGAGAGGTAAAGTAGTCATTTAGCAGGACAATAATAGGTGAACAGACTCCATGGTTTGTTAGAATAGACAGAAGCTGAACTCTTCCAGCACTTCCAAATGCATCACTCCAGTCCAAAATGTACAGTTTTACAGCTATGCTTTTTTCTTAATCGAGCGATGACAGAAGAAAATGCACTAGGGAAGCTAGAACATTCAGGGTAGATGGTTTACAACAGTAGATAAATGAATTACGATCACCTGTGTTCAACTTTGGGAGCAACTTGTGTAAAGGTATTCTTCTATCAATTATTATTATTATTATTATTATTATTATTATTATTATTATTATTATTAGTACTATTATTATTCTATCGTATAAAGTTACAACTGGAAAGTGCCCTCTGACAAAAGAACTGCAAAGCTGTTTCAGTACTCGCTAGTTTCCTCGAATGTCTTTGTTTGACAAAATATATTGAGCATAAGCTAAATGTAGACGGCAAACTTCAATCCAGATAGAATTTTTTATAGGATCTTCATTTAGACGTGAGTTCCTTTTATCGACACAGTTGTTTCAGAATGGGGAAAGAAAAGCGAGCAGATCGGATTAAGTGTATTTCTCATGGACAGCAGACATCAAAACAGAAGTTGCGAAAGTCAACTGAGTGAAGACAGAAAGTGGATCAATCAAAGACGGAGAATAGACGGGGGGGGGAATTCGACACACGATTCAATTTCCAGTTCCCATACAAAGAACGTCTGGCAATGTTGTCATACTCGGTCGTCATTCCACTGCACACTCGTTACCACCTCGCAGCCGTTTGAATGGTTTTCACACGCAAGCGATATTTTATGGTCGGTTTCCGAAAAGAAACTCGCTTTGTCATGTGCAGTGAACGTTTCACTCTAAACCTTGAATTCGGGACAGGACAATGAGCGGTTGTTTCAAGAAATCGTCCGCGCGATTCACATGTGTGCCGAGACGGCATGAACTCAAGCCCGGATACGAGGCGGCATTTAAAGCGAATCGGCCAAAAGGGCTGGGAGCTGTAACACGATTGACGTTATCAAGCTAACTTTGTAAAGACTGTCAGAGCAAACTGGACAGTTATTATTGTCATGCCCTTGTTGGATTCGCAGTACGATTTCGCAATACATGATTTCATTTATTTTTCACTTTAGT